TTACCAACTTACCCAAAAAGTCTTTTTTTCAATAAATAGTCTATAGATCCTGAAAGATGGAAACTACTAAAATAAAATGATTAGAAATTGTAAACCAATCGTAACTGAGATTATTAAACAGTTTATTTTCAATATAAAAAATTTATTTCTTTGTGAAGTAAAAAAAAATGTTTCAAAAGATAAGTTTTTGTCCGAAAAATTCATAAATCTCAATATCTCCCATGTACATGCGCGAAACCTAACAGTATTCCAGTAAAAGATGAAATAGTCTATTATAATGTTTCTTTATCATTTATGGCAATTTCAGATAAAAGGAAGGTCTGTGCAGTTTGTTAAACTTACCTTGCTACAAACTAGCCCCGATCTTTTTAACTTTCAGAAGCCTAGAATTTTCTTGATCTTTATAGAACTTTTAAGAATTCACTGGACTGCTCTTGATGTTTTAAAAATCTTTGAAAGTTTTAAAATTATCTGGAGTTTTCAAGGAGTTTATAAAAGTTAGCAAGATTTAGACTATTAAAGCTTCCTGATTGAGCTACGCATGATTGATCAAATCATGTAATATTTAATATCAAATGATACAGAGAGTACTTATTTGTGCGAGTTTTTAAACTAAAATTTATCACGTTTTGCTCAATAATAGAATATAAGTTAGATAGCCTAATATTTGCTTTTATTTATAACTAAACAAAAAACAATAAATAATATAATATGCTGCGATCTATACTAATATTTTTAGTGTCACAGATATTTGAATATCGGAAAATTCAAATTATTTTAAATAGGGCTGTGAAGTCGTAAAAAAAAAGTAACAACTCCGACTCCGACTCCAGTTGTTGAAATTTTTTGAGTACAACTGCAACTCCGACTTCGACTTCAACTCCGACTCCGACTCCAACTCCAAAGCAAAGTTTTGAAAAAATTCTTTGGACTCTTTAAAAAATATTACGCGATAAATTAGTTTTTTTTTGTTGACAATTTTATGAAACGTTCTTTGAGGTTTAGTATGAACGTAAGGTTAATTGAATCTTTTGTAATTGCATGTGCAATACCAAGAAATTTAACAATAGGAGTCGAAGTCGCGATTTTTTCAGCGACTCTAACTCCGACTCCGCTAATATTGTCGCAACTCCGCAACTCTGACTCCCACTCCGACTCCACAGCCCTGATTTTAAATTTGATTTTTAAACTTTGAGTTCAACTCTAAATATTTGAAAAATGCTTAAATATAATAATGTAAATCTAGTATAAATTACCGTTTATAATTGTTCGAATAGCATTAGTTTTTTAAAAAACTATACTTTTAACTTAACTATTTTTAATGTTTATTTTAAATAAAGTATTATAATTAAAGTGTTTGATAAAAATAATAGGAATAATAAAAACGCTGAAGTGGGAAAAACAACATAAAAAACTAATATCAATAATTGTAAATGTTTGGTTTCAAGATAACATTGTTTGTCTGAAAAAAATTAATTGTTGAATGCATGATAAAGTTGTGTGTAATATTAATTGTGAAACATGATGGATGTAGTGTTAAGGGGCGAGGCTGTTTGGTTGGAGTGCCACAAGGGACTTTGTTAATATAGATGAAGTAACTAACTAGAAACTTTAAAAATCATGATACACCTTCGAAAAATGGGAAGCCATTTATTTCTTTTAGAAGAAAATGCCTTAAAGCTTAAATTCAAAACATATTTTTCAAATTATTGTATAAGTTATTTGACTGAGTTTGAGAAAAATCAATTTATGAATATAATAATCAAGCCTCGCAAATGACATGATCTGTCTTCTATCAGATTTTTAAGAGAGGAATGAAAAATAATGTCAAAAACAAATGTCTAATGAAAATTAAGATACAGAAGAAATTTATTAACAGAAAATGTGTGTTATAGATATATAACATATCAACATATCTAATAAAGGTTTCATAATTTGGAACCCACCTCTAAAAGTATACTGAATTAAATTCAATATTCAAAACTTAGTTTTGAAGGATTGTAAAACAACCAAAAGTTTTTTAGTTGAATTTTAAATATTTTGTTATAAAAGGCCATAGTGGTGCATTTCTGTTAACGGTGTTTCTGGTCTGCAGCGAATTCGTGTTTTTCAGTATTATCAAAGTTAAAAGCTTCTTTTACAGAAAATTCCAGGAACAGCTAATTACAATAGCTATTTGAAACTATTTGTTTTATATATATACATACATATATATATATATATATATATATATATATATATATATATATATATATATAATATATATATATATATATATATATATATATATATATATATATATATATATATATATATATATATATAAATATATATATATATACACATATATATATATATATATATATATATATATATATATATATATATATATATATATATATATATATATATATATATATATATATATATATATATTACAATAGCTATTTGAAACTATTTGTTTTAAATATATATATATATATATATATATATATATATATATATATATATATATATATATATATATATATATATATATATATATATATATATATATATATATATATATATATGTATATATATATATATATATACATATATATATATACATATATATATATATATATATATATATATATATATATATATATATATATATATATATATATATATATATATATATATATATATATATATATATATATATATACTATACATATATATTTCCGCAATTTTATAAAATGACCTGTATGATTTATGTTGTTAGTATATTCATGGCATATTTTTAATTGAAGAATATTTACCGTTGTTAAATACTTTTTTAGGAATAGTTGATCGATGCAAAACTGCTGAAGTAGAACGAATAAAATGATGACGAGCGATTCATATATATATATATATATAAATCGCGCTTATATATATACCCCGTGACAAATTTAAAATATTTATAGTAAACAAACTAATTTTTTTGTATTTATTTTTATGTTTGAATTTGTTTGTAGATATTTATTTTGTACAATTTATTATTGTTTCATAATACATTTGTATTATTTCATTATACATTTGTGTGCTAACTTTGTGTGCTTATATTACTTTTGTTTGACAATTCGCCTAAATATTACCTAATTTTTTTTTCTTTTACAGTATTTTATCCGGATCCTTACATGCTACTGTGTTAAAGGGTTGGGAAACAATATTTTAAAATTATTATAATCATTATTAAAGATTATTCAATAACAATTATTAACAACTGATGGAATTCCGGCTCATTTTGTAGGTCAATTGATGGACCAAAGTCAAAACGGAACGTCCGGGAGACGTTTTTACGACGTCCTTTTATTACCAAGACGTCTAACAAACGTCCGTTAGACGTCAATATAACGTCTACACTCTAAGTTCATTTGAAGTCTGTTTTGGACGGACGTCTTGTGTTGCATTTGGTACGTCTGTACTGGACGTCCTTTCGTCCAAAAAAGACGTCCTACGGGCGTCTATAGGACGTCACCATGCCATCTGGGATATATAAATATATATATATATATATATATATATATATATATATATATATATATATATATATATATATATATATATATATATATATATATATATATATATATATATATATATATATATATATATATATATATATATATGTATATATATATATATATATATATATATATATATATATATATATATATATATATATGTATATATATATATATATATATATATATATATATATATATATATATATATATATATATATATATATATATATGTATATTATATATATATATATATATATATATATATATATATATATATATATATATATATATATATATATATATATATATATATATATATATATATATATATATTTGTATATATATATATATATATATATATATATATATATATATATATATATATATATATATATATATATATGTATGTATATATATATATATATATATATATATATATATATATATATATATATATATATATGTATGTATATATATATATATATATATATATATATATATATATATATATATATATATATATATATATATATATATATATATATATATATATATATATATATATATAATATTTTGCAAGTATTATAAATCGGAAAATTTAGAGAAATATAGACATTTTTATACTTAAATCGTTTTAAGTATAATAATGCAGTACAATAAAATTACATTTTTAACAATATTAAAAACAGATAAGAAAAACTATTAAAAAAAAGAATATTTTAATAACATTAATAGGTTTTTTAAAAAAATTAATCTTCTGGAAGAGTTTTTGATTTTTGATATTGTTTTTTTAATTTTTTTTTAGTTTACCTTGACATATTTATATAGTTATGTTTTAATTGACTTTATATAAATCAAAAAACGCAATATCAGAAAGACTAACAAAATAAAATACCTTTATAAAAGAACAGTCCCACAGCAATAAAAGAAAGAATTATCAATGAAACCTCTAATAAATTCCAAAACTTCACAAAGTATTTACAACCAGCTTGATATATAAAGCGAGATTCTCGAAATGTAAATATGATAGTCATTAAGATAAACAAAATATGGAAACCAAACATAGTCTTTGATCCAGTCACTGAGGCATACACATTGAACGTTAAAACAGAGAAATTAGGAACAACTCCACCAGAAGCTAAAAATTCTAAAGCCATAGTAACCATGTTGAAACAATTAGTAGCAGCATTAAACAAGGCAAACTCAATTATTATAGCTCGTGTTTGTCTATCAATCCATCTATGCTTTTTTGCTTGATCAAGTATAAGCTTATTTTTCCATTTAGAAAATATTTCTATGACATAACCTCCACCATAGTAGGTGTCTAAACTAGCAGTATATGGATACCCATCAAGTTCTTTTCCGGTTTGATACCTCCAAGGGATAGTCAAAGTATTAATTGTAGAGTTATAATGTTTTGGAATAGTCCAATTTAAATCAAAATCTTGCATTTCCTCTAATGTATTTTTAAATGGAGACAGGCAGTTCATAGCAATGAATTCAGCAATTGCGTTGGTTTTAGTGCAAGATTCTAAAGAAATAAAAATAAAATTTCAAAATTGATTTAGTAAGTTTGCATTAGAGATTTAAAAAGGTTGCAATTTAACCTTTAGGGGAAATATAAAACTTGCATTTAAAAATTGAACTTTTTTATCAAAATGATTTTTGCATAAAAAAAATGTTTTTTATAACTATTTTAGCTCCACTAATATAGCCTAACGGGTAAACTTCTTGAAATAAACTTCCTAGTTAAAACATGTGCCAAAAATATAGCCTAACGGGTAAACTTCTTGAAAAAAAATTCCTGGTTAAAACATGTGCCAAAAAATGGCCAAATAGATGCATTAAAATAACTACTTTTATTAGGCATTTTGTATAGCTTTTAATACAATTCTATAATATGGCCTTTACAACCATAATTGCTTGTAAGAATTTTACAAAAATTTCTTTTTAACATTTAAGTTTAAATAAAGTTTATTGTTTTTTTTTTTTTTTGTTTTTTTTACATTGAATTTTACAATATTACAAATATTGATTATTTGTAAATAAAGTTTCCACGAGATGTCAGTAATGAAAAAAAATCCAAGAAAACTTAAAAAAGATTAATCAGTGAGAGGGTTGCCATTTATTTATATAGGAATGTTGACAATACAACAATTGTTGTTAGCATGTTAATAATTGAGTTTTACTTGGAGTTAAAACGCACAGGCGACTGAAAGCGCTAATCTATTACAGATTTGAGATATAAAATTGGCTGCATTTTCGAAATAATTATAAAAAGAAAACTTATTTTAAAGACAGAAGTATAATGTTGAGGCGTCAGGGAATATAGAGTAACATTAGATATAAAGTTGTCAGATTCATCCTTAATGTGGATAAGAAACAAAATAGGACCAAGAATAGAACCATGGAGTACCCTATAAGTTAGTAAAATAAGAGTAATAGAAAAAAAAATTTGATAATATTTGATCTCAAAAAATTTCCAACAACATAAAGCAATCATATGTAGAAGAACAGCATGCTGAACTTTATCAATTTATTGAATGATAAAATTTTTTAGCAAAAGTTAGCATGTCAGGCGTAGGATGAGAAGATCAAAAAACATATTTATTGTTTGACTCAATATAGGATGTTAGAAATATGTTTATCAAAGATAAAAAGATATTGATAACAAAATAAAAAAGACGGAGCGTAGGAGGAGTCAAATGTTCTTTTTAGTTTTTTAAAAGCTCTAACCACAGATGCCATTTTTCAACTATCAGGAAAACAAGAATCACTAAATAAATACTTTAGAGAGAAAGTTTTTGAAAATTAGTAAGATTTTGAAGGGCGTAAGACTATATAAGAGTAAAGTAAGACTATACCCGAAATGATGTCTGACCACAAGCAATAGAAGAGTTTAATTGAGATGTACCTTTGGGAATGTAAGCTAGATTGATTTATATATCTAACAATGGGTTAATTAACTTTACTGGAATGAAAGGAAGAAAATTAGAGTACAATTATTTTGATATTAGCTCAGTCTTATATTTACTGAAAGTTCAGCTTTATATTTAATAATACTATTGATCACAAAACTCTTTTAAAAAAATTAGAGTGGTACGGAATAACTGGAAATATTTTAATTTGGCTGAAAAGCTACTTTAGTAACAGAAAGCAATTTATATATGTGGACGAGATTTTAGGTCCCCTTTAATTTTTATTATATATTATTGATCTATCTAAAGCTGCTAACCTAACAACAATTATGTTTGCTGATGATTCCAACTTAAATCTTTCTCATAATAACATTATAACACTTTTTAACAACATGAACATTGAACTAGTAAAAGTTTCTGAATGGTTTAAATTAAATAAATTGACCTAAATATTGATAAAACTAAATGGATTCTTTTCCATTTAAGCGATAAAAAATACCTACTACCTAGTAACTTGCCTTTTCTTTATACGGATAATATATATTTGAAAGTGTTTTAGTCACAAAATTGATAGGTGTCTATATCGACGAAAATTTAACATGGAAAAACCACATTACTAGCTTGTGCGGTAAAATTTCAAAGAGTATATGTATTTTATACAAAACAAAAAGCCTTCTTAACAAACGTACCTTAATTCAATTATATTACTATTTAATTCATTGTCATATTAACTATGCAAGTATTGCATGGGGTAGTACAAATAAAGGTAAACTTGAACCTCTCTATCGGCAACAGAAGCATGTTGCATGCCTTATAAATTTCAAGAATCGTAAAATGTAAACAGGTATTTACATAAACATGCTGCAATATGAATTTTACTGTTTTTTGAACATGTTTATAATTTGACTTTATTTTACTTGTATGTACTGGTATGTAATGTATTTATTATTGTACTGTAACGCAATGTAACTTATTTTTTTTAGCGGTTCTTGGTGATAAGACCTAGTTGTCTTCTTCAAGTGTCCACGTTCTTTTTTTTTGTTTATTAAATATTGTGAAAGTTTTACTCATTTTAACGAATTTTTTAGCTGAAGTTTAATTTCTTGTGTATATTTGAATAAATATTGTAATAAAGAACAAAATCAAAAAAAAAAAAATTTTTTTTGAAAGAGCTAAAAAGATCACTCTTATGAATAAGAAATTGATTGTTAAACCTACATTTCTTAATTACATTATTAAAGATTTCCAGAGTCTCTAGAACCTAAGTCCCTATATGAAATTTAAGATTAAGTATTTTGCGTATAATGTAGCTTAGCAGCAGGCAGTACCGATTTGATTTTTTGCAATGACAAATCGGTGTCCGTTCTTAAGAGGGAATTTTATTAAAAAGAAAATATGAAAACAATGATTATGATTAGATATAGCAGCTACACAAAGAAGTAAAAGCCATGCCGTAAAATTAGGCTGGACTTGAATCCGACACGAAAAAATAAAAGCATCCATTTCTGCTAGGACCAACGAGTTACTAGAACAAACATTTACGAGCGAAGAAAAAAAAGACAACAGCTCAAGAACTCTCAAAAAGAAAATTATGAAAAAAATACCAGTCAGCTCTAGGGTAGTAGTATATGATGAAATGATTGGGTAAATACAAAGAAAGAAATATGAGATGAAAGCTTTATATTGATATTGTGCAACCAGGTATCCCTTTACTCAATCACTAGCCCTAAAGGTGATCATGATGATCCTTAACATGGCCAGAACTGGAATATATAAAAAAAGATATTACTACCTGTAAACAAAATTATTTTAAAAACAGACATTAAATCTAACAAAATACCAGAACAAAGAGAGCATAGTTGATTACTAAGCTTAAACTGCAACAGTTATTGAGGCAGAACACAAACATACGTAAAGTAACTTATGTGTGTAAACATCACGCCAGAAGTTCAGAAATAACACAAACAAATATATAGTAAGTTACTGGTTGAACAATATTAGGCCAAAGGTTTAGACAAAATACAAATATACATAAAGTAACTAATATGATTGAAAGCACTGAGCCGGAGGTTCAGACAACCATCAACATAGTAAATTAAGGGTGAGTAAACACCGAGCCGAAGGTTGAGGCAAAACACAAACAACAAAATAGTAACTTACAAGAGAATGAATACCGCTCCAAAGGTTTGTATAGAACACAAACATAAAGCTATAGTAAATTACAGGCGAGCTAACACAGTAAGTAGGGCTGTATATAGGAGAAGTGGTAGTATAACCGGCCCCTGTAACGATTGGATTAATGTTATATGAAAATAAAAATGTAAAGTATTTTTTTAACATTTTACTTTAGTAACTAATTCTTACACCATTAAAAATGATTGTCGAGACTTTTTCGTAAACCGTTGATGCTACAATGTTTTTGTTTATGTGACGTCACTTTGTCGCAAAAAACTAGAAATACAAACTAGAAAAATTTTTAAAGAATTTTTTTTAATGAAAAAGACAAAAACTATTTATTTATTACTATTGTAAAAAATACAATATCTTATCCGCGAAATGATATGCCTGTACCAGTTTTATATACTGTTATGTATTTGTAGGCAACAAAAGTAAAATTAAACATAAAATGTAAGATAAATGCAGAAAAAACTTGCACAGTGGAAAAAAAGAAATCTTTATATATATAGACGAGTAAAAGACGTCTTTTTTATGACTTGTTATGTCTTTTTATATTCAGCCTTAAGAAAGACGTGAAAATAACGTCTTTAAAAAGTATTTATTTGACTGTACAACAAATTTTATTATGCATATATATTAATATATATATAAATATACCTTAATATATATGTATATATATATATATATATATATATATATATATATATATATATATATATATATATATATATATATATATATATATATATATATATATATATATATATATATATATATATATATATATATATATATATATATATATATATATATATATATATATATATATATATATATATATATATATATATATATATTGCAGTTGTTTAGCTAGAAAATATTAATGGGAAGAAGCAAAAAGTAGATAGCGTGGCGCTAGTAAGGTGGTATTGATATGATCTAGTTTTAATTAAGTTAGTCGCAGGCAAATGTTTTAAAAAGTTTTACTGTATATTTTTTGATTAATTTTTTAATGTTTTGTGCTTGAAGAACGTTGTTTATTAAGTATTAAATTAAAATATTTAATGTCACACAAAAAATAAAACCTGCACACAATTTCTGTCTGTATTTACTTATTCAAGTGCCAGTGAAATGAACGATAGAAAAAAATAAGTATTCAGTGAGTTTGAAGTTTGTTTTTTTTCATTTACTTTTAACTGATCTGAATAAATTTGTTGTTTTTTTTCGGTTGATTGATGAAATTGTTTACACAAATGGTTGGCTCATTAACTTTTATGTTAATGTTGTTATTTCCTTGTTAATTTTTATCTGTCGTTAAAAAAGCAAGTAAAAAATATGCATATAATGACAACAGGTTTATTTTTAAAACTGTTTGCAAAAGTTTTGGTTTGAGTACAAAAGGCCAATTGAAAGTGATACTGGAAAAGTA